TCGAGAATGCTTTCCGTCAACTTTTACAGCAAGCATAGTCAAATCAAGAACTATATTCGAGAATGCTTTCCGTCAACCATTACAGCCAAGCATAGTCAAATCAAGAACTATATTCGAGAATGCTTTCCGTCAACCATTACAGCCAAGCATAGTCAAATCAAGAACTATATTCGAGAATGCTTTCCGTCAACCTTTACAGCCAAGCATAGTCAAATCAAGAACTATATTCGAGAAGCTTTCCGTCAACTTTTACAGCCAAGCAGAGTCAAATCAAGAACTATATTCGAGAATGCTTTCCGTCAACTTTTACAGCCAAGCAGAGTCAAATCAAGAACTATATTCGAGAATGCTTTCCGTCAACTTTTACAGCCAAGCAGAGTCAAATCAAGAACTATATTCGAGAATGCTTTCCGTCAACTTTTACAGCCAAGCAAGTCAAATCAAGAACTATATTCGAGAATGCTTTCCGTCAACTTTTACAGCCAAGCAGAGTCAAATCAAGAACTATATTCGAGAATGCTTTCCGTCAACTTTAAGTCAAATCAAGTCGAGAATGCTTTCCGTCAACTTTTACAGCCAAGCAAGTCAAATCAAGAACTATATTCGAGAATGCTTTCCGTCAACCTTTACAGCCAAGCAAAGTCAAATCAAGAACTATATTCGAGAATGCTTTCCGTCAACTTTTACAGCCAAGCAAAGTCAAATCAAGAACTATATTCGAGAATGCTTTCCGTCAAACTTTTACAGCCAAGCAGAGTCAAATCAAGAACTATATTCGAGAATGCTTTCCGTCAACTTTTACAGCCAGCAGAGTCAAATCAAGAACTATATTCGAGAATGCTTTCCGTCAACTTTTACAGCCAAGCATAGTCAAATCAAGAACTATATTCGAGAATGCTTTCCGTCAACTTTTACAGCCAAGCGTAGTCAAATCAAGAACTATATTCGAGAATGCTTTCCGTCAACTTTTACAGCCAAGCAAAGTCAAATCAAGAACTATTCGAGAATGCTTTCCGTCAACTTTTACAGCCAAGCAGAGTCAAATCAAGAACTATATTCGAGAATGCTTTCCGTCAACTTTACAGCCAAGCATAGTCAAATCAAGAACTATATTCGAGAATGCTTTCCGTCAACTTTTACAGCCAAAGTCAAATCAAGAACTATATTCGAGAATGCTTTCCGTCAACATTACAGCAAGCATAGTCAAATCAAGAACTATATTCGAGAATGCTTTCCGTCAACTTTTACAGCCAAGCATAGTCAAATCAAGAACTATATTCGAGAATGCTTTCCGTCAACTTTACAGCAAGCAGAGTCAAATCAAGAACTATATTCGAGAATGCTTTCCGTCAACTTTTACAGCCAAGCATAGTCAAATCAAGAACTATATTCGAGAATGCTTTCCGTCAACTTTTACAGCCAAGCATAGTCAAATCAAGAACTATATTCGAGAATGCTTTCCGTCAACTTTTACAGCCAAGCAGTCAAATCAAGAACTATATTCGAGAATGCTTTCCGTCAACACAGCCAAGCATAGTCAAATCAAGAACTATATTCGAGAATGCTTTCCGTCAACTTTTACAGCCAAGCATAGTCAAATCAAGAACTATATTCGAGAATGTTCCGTCAACTTTTACAGCCAAGCAGAGTCAAATCAAGAACTATATTCGAGAATGCTTTCCGTCAAACTTTTTCAAATCAAGTCGAGAATGCTTTCCGTCAACTTTTACAGCCAAGCATAGTCAAATCAAGAACTATATTCGAGAATGCTTTCCGTCAACTTTTACAGCAAGCATAGTCAAATCAAGAACTATATTCGAGAATGCTTTCCGTCAACCATTACAGCCAAGCATAGTCAAATCAAGAACTATATTCGAGAATGCTTTTCCGTCAACTTTTACAGCCAAGCAGAGTCAAATCAAGAACTATATTCGAGAATGCTTTCCGTCAACTTTTACAGCCAAGCAGAGTCAAATCAAGAACTATATTCGAGAATGCTTTCCGTCAACTTTTACAGCCAAGCAGAGTCAAATCAAGAACTATATTCGAGAATGCTTTCCGTCAACTTTTACAGCCAAGCATAGTCAAATCAAGAACATATTCGAGAATGCTTTCCGTCAACTTTACAGCCAAGCGTAGTCAAATCAAGAACTATATTCGAAATGCTTTCCGTCAACTTTTACAGCCAAGCAGAGTCAAATCAAGAACTATATTCGAGAATGCTTTCCGTCAACCATTACAGCCAAGCGAGTCAAATCAAGAACTATATTCGAGAATGCTTTCCGTCAACTTTTACAGCCAAGCGAGTCAAATCAAGAACTATATTCGAGAATGCTTTCCGTCAACTTTTACAGCCAAGCATAGTCAAATCAAGAACTATATTCGAGAATGCTTTCCGTCAACTTTTACAGCCAAGCATAGTCAAATCAAGAACTATATTCGAGAATGCTTTCCGTCAACTTTTACAGCCAAGCATAGTCAAATCAAGAACTATATTCGA